TCAAGTTCTTTTTTTTTAGAAATTCAATCAACTTGGGTATGTATAACAGGGTTTGTTTCTTCCTTTATTTTATTTCTGAGAAAAAAAAATTTATACCCAATCAATTGTATTTCCTCATTTTCAGTTTGTCTTTTGATGCCTTCGTTTTACGGCAGTTTGCAGTTTTAACATTCAATTTCTCACACAGTTTTTGCGCAGTAAAATCCACTCGTTAGAGTACTTAAACGGTTTTGAAAAATTGAATTTTTATTTGCTGATTTTGGGAAAGTGTTTCAGAGTTTAAAGGTGCATTGAAGAGCGCCAGTAAAATCGAAGTGGTAGTAAAGTATTTTTCCCAATATCGGCTAAGTGGGTATCATTAGTCTTCTGCTAAGAAATTTTTTTTTCTGAGAAGAGGAGAGGGAATAAAGTTTGTTGTATTTTTTTTTCTTGTGGAAGATTGCTTTTCAGAATAGTTGAGGACATTCTGTTCCATTTTTCTTGTCATTTATACTGTAACGTTGATTATTTTGAAGTTTTTATTAGTGAAGTAAATATCTGTTTCATGCAGTACATAGTTTTTGCTCGTTTATTTGACTTTTTGACCTGAAGTTGAAGAGTAGATGGGAAGTGAAAGAAAAAAAAAGACGCTGATAATTGTTTGGACATATATTACTTTGGTTGTACAGTTCAGCAGATTTTGTTAGCTGTGTTGGTTAGATAGTAGATTACTGAGAAGGTTTACAAGAAGTATGTTTTTTGGCAGTATTTATAATTCTCAAAAATTTGCTTTGTTAAGCTTTTCATTTTCTTTCTTCAACCTTAAATTGGTCAATAAAAAAAACTGGTTTTATTATAGTTGTTCTTTCTTCAGAAAAAAATAATTGTTTTTTTTTTCGTTGGTAGCAGCAGCGACAACGACAATCACTAATTTAGAAGTAAGATTCAGGGTTGAAAATTATTTGGTGGAGGAGGGAGGGGGGAAAGTGCTTTTTTTCTCCAATATTTATATTTTTTTTCTGGTTTGAATAGAAGAGTTTAAAGCAGAAAAAGATGTCATCAACATTTTAAGTCGGATATTCATTGTTGAACAGTTTTTATAGTTGTCAAACAAACAAATAGGCAAATGAAAAAAGAGGGTTTGACCACAATAAACCGGTGTTATTTTGGTGATGAACAAAAATAGACAAAAAGATTAAAAAAAGTATAGTGTTAAACTGGAAGAACAACAACGATGTTTTGGAGAATAGTTATTTTTGAGTGTAAATTTGTATGTTTAAATAATTTGTTTTATCGCAAACGATTAAAAATAACGATCAAGAAATCCGGCGATGAACAGATCTATGATTGTTGCATATTGTTGCAGTTTGCTCACCGATTATTGTGCTTTAAAAAGTGGACTTTTTGAAACTTGCTTAGGTTATAGTTATTCGATGTAAAGGTGAAGAAAATTTTTCTTCTATTTTTTAAGAGGATTTTTTTTTTACTTATATTTAATGATGCTTTTGTTGTTGTTGTTATGATTATTTTCTGTGGTCTTAAGATTTTGATGTTTCATAACTTTTATTGTTTTAAAAACTGTAGGCGGATGATAAAATTGTTGGGGGGGGGGTTCTTTTTTTTGGCAATTAAAGTTAAAACCGGAATTATTTGAAACTGGCAATAAAAAAAAGAAAAAACTATTGAAAGCAAAATTTGTTGTACAGAATTCTGGATGATGTTTTGGATTACATTGATTTTGCACTGAAGTTTTGTTGATATATTCTTGGCAACAGCATATCGAAATTACTTTTTTTTCTTTTGCTGCTCAAAACTATTGCAAAGAAAACAGTTTTGCAGATTGTATTTTTTTTAGGATACATTCTTCTGTAAATCATGCGGAGGAGTCATTTTTTATAATACAAAATTTTTTTTTTCTTCAATGTTGGATGATCAGTTTATTGATGACTGCAGTGGTGATAACTTTTTTTTTTTTTGCTGTTGTTATTATTCTCAATTAATATTGTTGATTATATGTTTGTTGAGCATAGAATTATTGTCAAAAATTTTTTGATTAGCTCATTTTTGTAATAGCTACTAAGTTGTTCAGATTCATAAGAATTAGTAATAAAGAAAAGAAGCTGACTGATATAAGTGTAGTTGTGTTGTCGTTTGAACAAACAACAGTGTAATGCACGTTTACTATGAAAGGATCAATGGTTTGTGAGGAGAAAAAAGTTGTAAAATATTGGGAATAAGAAACTGTGAATTTGTTTTTATTTTTTTTTAAACAGCTGTTTGATACGCGATTGTTGTAAATCAGTTAGTTTTTTTCATTTCAGATTTTTTTTTTTTTTGCTTTATTTATGTCAGACTTATTGATGGCATTTATTTTGGATAATAAAAGTTGGAAAACGGGAGGATGAGATGTTTGTCGAGAAAGCAAAATTAATTTTTTCTTTCAGAAATCTTGGTTTCATTGCTTTCTGTCGGATTGATACAGTGGATATGCAGTGGTACAGTAGTGGTCTTCTGGTTTCTGTTTTTTTTATTTGGATTTCTATTGAACAGAATGAATCGAGGTTTTTTTTTTGGGAAGCATTCTTTGTTGTCGTTTGTTGACCAAGCTGTAGATGCGTAGTATTTGTTGTCACATCTTTGTACTTATTTATTTATTTGTTGTTGGACAGTCAACAGAAATTCACTGAAGAAGTGGTTGAGGTTAAAGGTTACTGAGAGCAGTCAGGTGGGGGGTGAGCAGCATACAAATGATTTTTCAATGAGCATCGTTAAGTTTGATTTGCAATCGACAATCATCATTTCTATGTTTTTTTTTTTTTTTTCAGTATTTTGCTTTTTCAACATCTGTTTTTTATTTTTTGCTCATGAACTTTTTTCAAGTATCAAAATGGAAAAAGAAATACATTTGGAAATTTGTTGGAAATTGGATTTTAATTTGGATGTAGTGGAAAAGGATAAATTTTGTTGACAGTTGCAAAAGATGGTTGTGAGCTGATGTGTTAAACGAATATTATTTGGTCTGTTTGATTGGATATATGCGTCAGATAAGCCAAAAAAAAAA